GCCGCGGCCGCCCAGGGCAAGACGCGCGAGCAAGGTAAGGGCATCCCGCCCCGCGCCCTGTCGTGCCTGTCCGCCCGCCCCGACCCGCTACCGGCCGCTTCACTCAGCCCGGCCTCAGCTACCTTCGGCCTCGGCTACGAAACTGCCAAGCTCAGTCAATGCAAGCTCTTCTAGCGCCTGATAGCTAGGCCACATCTTGCCTGCAGTGCAGGCGTGTACTGCGGGATGGCCTATGCCGAGTCTTACAGGCGCCGAGCTGCCGTTATTTACCTCAGCATCAGGTGAAGAGTGTTTCAAAATGTCACAATCCTGTGCAAAATCACATATATTTCATACTAGCGTGTAGGATGTCCGGTCCGGAATATATGTGGATTCTGAGGTGAAAAGGTGCCTCTAAATGACACGGCACTGATGACAATAGTTTTCGTTCTGCCCAACACATAGTGTAGCTGTGGTGTCTGAAAGAACGAGCAAAAACAATTCCTGACCGTGAGATTGATCAATTTCTTGCAATCGCCGAATTCGAAGTGGTAATCTGTCCTCAGGTGGTGACTACCTGGTGGAGATCAGCGGCCGCTACCTCAACGTGTACGGCCAGGGCGCGCTGCGCTTCATCGACCGGCCGTGGAACTCGGCCCGCGCGGCCGACGTGACCATCGTGCGCTTCAACTACATCAACTTCAACGGGCTGACTGCCGTGCTGGGCCGGCTCAAGCAGCGCTTCCCCAACGCCGAGCACTTTATCTTCCGCGAGAACAACCTCGCGTGCCTGGGCCAGCTGAACGCGCTCGCCGACATCCAGGGCCTGACCTCGCTGTGCGTGGAGGAGGAGGGCAACCCCATCGTGGCCAAGTCGTGGCAGGGCTACGCCATCTACCGGCTGGCGCACTGGGGCCTGCGCACCATCAACGACGTGGAGGTGAGGGGGCATGGCGACGGCGATGTGGATCGTCATCATGGCAATCATTTTCCTGTTTTTAAGCAGTTCCCGGTCGTCGTTCGTTTTATAAACCAGTTTTCGATCAAAATTCCCTGAAAATGTCGTTTTTCTCAAAAATTCCGCTCACAACCTTAAAATATGAGGCTGGAAAAGCGCACCGGGCTTAGTGCTTTCCCGAATCAACCGGCGGAAACTTCATCCAGAAAAAGGGAAAGTCGTATCAACCATCGTGAGGTTACTTCAGGGACAACAATAACATGCTTCAAAAATTAACAATTCTACACTTGTCGGAACTATATTTTCGTTTTCAGAACAATTTTAACGTTACCTCAACCATCACTTTATGGCTGTCCCTGAAGTAACCATACGATGGCTGTGACAACTTTTCATTTTTCTAGGTGTTCACGGAAAATTCTTTGCTGTGATTGATTGTTGACGATGAAGCCGACGCTGAATTCGCTGCCCAGGTGACGGAGGAGATGGTGGCTGCGGCCGCAGCCGAGTTTCGCGGCCTCAGTGACCTGGTGCTGTGGTCGCTGCCCGACAGCCTGCTGCAGCCGCTGCTCACCCGGCTGCGGCTGGACGGCGCTCGCGGCCACGGCGCCGCCCTGGCGCAGCAGCAGCCGCACCAGCTGAGCGCGCGCCAGTGGCTGTGGACGGCCGACCCCGCACTCAGGACCGTCGTCGGGAAGGAGGCGCTGCAGTGGAGGCGCACCAGCATCACTCAGGTGGGGCAAGGTTGCACGCCAGAGCTGAAGGACGGACGGATAAAGCCTAATGGAAATTTATACCTTTGGTAATTATGATCAAACAATGCCAATGTCGAAAATTTACCGTTTCCCGCATCAGTTCGATATTGATACTATTGTAGTCATGATTATACCGAATCATTTCGAACCGACATTATTTCGATGGCGTTGAACGCGATGGCCTTAAACGGCGACCAGAGCTGCATAGGGATGCGCGGCAGCTGCTTGCGGCCTGAACAGCACTACAGGGGCACGGACGAGCCACGCGAGACTCGTACCGCACCAAATCATTGGACTACTGCTGTGGCGCTTCCTGGTCGAACTGTGTAACTTTACGCTTGAATAACGGGTGAACTTTTAATTTTACTTCAGTACAGTGCTGAAACCCGGCTGAAACTGCGTCATATGCTGAAAAGCCCTTATTGTGCTTAATGTGGCACTGTCTGTCATTAAAAAAGTGCGTCCGTCATTTGCCGTTACGACATTGTCATGTTCAGCCTATGGAAGGTATCATAGCGCCTGAGAGGTAGGCAACATCATGCCTGTAGTGCACGTGTGTACTGCGGGCTGGCCTACCCTGAGTCTCGCAGGCGCTGAGCTCTCGCAATTTGCCAAATGGTCGAATGACTTTGAAAGATACAGATGTAGACAGTCTCGAAGAATAACAAGTACAGGGCTGCCAGAAGTCAGGGAAGTGTCGGGGAAAACAAAATGTGTCGGGGAAGTCAGGGAAATGTCCGGGAATTGAGCGCTGTGTCAAGGAAAAACGGCCGGCAATGTTATTTTGGGTACTCGGCGAGGTGTTAGCAAAAGTCCCTCCTTGCTTATTGCATTCTGACTGCTAATCTTGTTGTCAAGGAAATTCACGAAATTGTCAGGAAAAAGTCAGGGAATTTCACTTCTCCATACTTGTTGCAACCCTGAAATACTGTTCCCAGTACATTTTCCATGGACATGTTTAAACATTAAATTCCATCCCTACGCAGGACGACTTGCTGTGGCGCCATAAGGGCCGCGTGCAGCTCGGCGCTCTCCTCGACGTGGCCGTGTCCGCGGTCGCCAAGCTGCGCCTGCTCGAGCGCGAGTGGCCCGGCGTGCTGCAGGAGCTGGTGCGCGACACGCTCGTCGACTACTCGCACCTGCACGCCTACATGAAGAAGTGCATGGCCAACCTGCAGCGCCTCTGAGGTATCCTGAAGGCAACTGTACGGATTGCTGCAGAGAAATGACCTGTTATTCGAGTGTTGTTGTGTTCGACTTAGGAGCCAGGCTACCTCAGGCGAACGTCAGATCGTCATGTTTCGGCCTTGCTTCTCTACTTAAGCTGTCGGATGGTTTAATTCAGGATATGGTGATCAAATGATTAAGAGAGTGACTCAGCGCGGTGCTGTCATCAATTACCTTATTGCTAGAGCTTT